CCAGGCGAAATCGAACGTCCGGGATAACAGGACGTTGTAACAGCTTCCACGGCAGTAACAACAGTCGACGCTACCGTTGACGTGACTTTGTTTTAAGTACAGTAGCCTGACACCACCAGTGCTGTTCGTTCATTTCGTCGTGTGCCCAAGATGATCCAATATCCGGATAATTTATTCGTATTTTTTGATGGAAATATGCTGTTGCGAAATCATAAAATATGTGTCGTTGCCGCTGCAGTTGTCGTTGCGTGAGCTGAACGCGAACAAATAACCGACGATTGCGAAATCTCCTTATTGTAGGGAACATTTCAGGACAGAGGTATTAAGTACTACGTAGTAATCAGCATTCAACAATTTTGGAGACTGTTATGACAATTTACCAACTATTCAACAAAAATGTAAGATGTTATTGTATTAATAACATGCTCACTCTTTTCCAAAAGTGGTTCAGGTATATCTCCAATGGTTAAAATCTATTTCTAACCTCGTTCGATTACTTGTTAAGGTAATTTAAAACAAAAAGCGCCAATGCATTTAACCCATCACAATTTGTTAAAACCACATAGGAATTATCCAAACCAAGTACACAATGCCTCGCGGAAACAATAATCCAAAAAGAACAATCTACTAGTACTTTCATTTTCGCTGTTGGATCCCAAATCTGTGTCGCTTCCGCCCGCATCACCAGCAGCCATTGAGCTTTCTGCTGCCATGATCAACGACAACCTGGCCTTGCGTTTCGATCGATAGGTACGTGCCGACGACTTCTTACCCTTGACCCTCTTCGTTCCAATAGCGTTCAAGCGGTTCACGTACTGGACGTTCACGTCGCCATCGTCCGCGCGAAGTGGATGCATGCGGATGTGCACGTTCGTAATCTCCACACAGGTTTGGAACAAAACATCATAGTTCTGACGTCTCCAACGGTAGCAGTCACTGCACATAGCCCATAGCGACTTGAGGCGCCCAAAGAAATTCACGACAATGACTTCTTTTCGTACACAAACTGTAACCGTGCCCATCATCCGGTTACTAACCGGATGACTAGTCGACACCTCTTCAGTCCAAGGTGTCCTTTCGCAGACCAACAAGGCCCCTTGCGCAACCAAGGTGTTCTCCCTACGATACATCAATGGTTGGCTGCGCGTAGCTTAGTGATAACGTAGTAGTCTTAATGTTATCAATTCATTCTTGATTCTACCATCTCCTACGTCTTCCTCTGTGTACGTTCATACTTGGTAGCACTCCACGTTCGTCCAGTCGAACAACACTATGTCCTCCACCAACACCGCAGTCCACCAGGCGGTCCTCGCTCTTTTGTGTCGCGGTTTTTTCGAAAGCGATACCGTGCTACTCCTGGGCGGGATGGCTCCCGATAACCAAACACGCCTTGTGGAAGGCATAGGTAGCTGAAGCTACGTCTGCCCAGAACACATTGGAAGAACAAGTCACTCAAATATCTTCGCAGGGGCGAAACCGTGAAGATTCTCTCCACGTCGCTCGCGAGAAAATCGCGACCTTAGAAGAACAAGCCTCCACCATGACGACACATGGTCCCTCCAAGATTCCAAGATTCTCTGCGCATTGCTCATGATGAAATCGCGCGCCTCACGCCTACTTCAGAGTCGGAAATGCCATCGGTATCTCGTCCGAAGTCGATCAAGTTGGATGTTGCAGAATTCGGCGGAGCGAAGTCTGACAACCTCCTCAACTGGCTTTTACAAGTCAGCACTGCTGTTGACGCTTAGCGCATCCCCGACGACGCCACCCGGGTGGCTTTAGCGATGTCGCACGTGAAGGGTCGTGCAAAAGATTGGGCGTTCTCTAAACGCTTGACGGATCGCCATTGCTTCCCGTCCTTCGCAGTCTTTTAGACCGAACTAAAGGCAATGTCCTGCCACCCAACAGCGACTTTCGTTATCGCTCGCAGTATCTGGCATACAAACAAGGGAACGCTCTCTTCAAGAGTTCATCCATGACCTTCGCTTCTTGGGCAGCGAATATTAATGACGAAGAATCACTCCCGGAGTCCCTACGTGTGACCGTTTTCATGGACGGTCTCAACCAAGGCCCGGCCCAGGCTCGAGTGTGGCGGGAAACGGTCGCTCCCAATAGGCGCGAGGCGACCTACTGGGGACATTCTAGGTCCTTAGGAGGTGTGTGGCGCGCTGACACACTCTCAGGACCTAACCTCGGACACATACCTTCTTCTGTGTTGTGTTGGACTCCAACCCAACAAAATGATTCGTTTGGAACTTGTCGTGCCTGGCTTTCCAGCCAGGCTCTCTGCTTTAATCGATTATGGGGTGTCGAACAACTACGCCAGCCGCTCCACTCTCTCTCGCTTCAACCGCTTACCCACTTCGGACCCTTCCGACAGGGTTCACGTCAAGATGGCCGACGGCCATTCTTATTTATCTGAAGGTAAAACTAAAGCAATATTATTTAATTATAATAGATCAGCTAATATTGCTAAAAATTTTAATTCACATATAGAATTTTTTTATTATATAATAGCACCTGAAGGTTTAAAAGTTGGTGATAGGAGCAAATATAAATAAAACTACATCACAATTACTTGGTAACACAGTTTCTTTTACAAATAATTTCAAACCATCAGCTAAAGGTTGTAATAAACCAAAAGTACCAACTACATTAGGACCTTTTCGTCTTTGTATAGAAGATAAAATTTTTCTCTCGGCTAAAGTAAAATAAGCTATTGCTATTAATAAAGGTAAAATTAAAAAAACTATTTTTAAAAGAATATTTAACATAATTTATAGATTGCGAAGCATAATTAGATAAACCACAAGCAAAAAACATATATCGAAGAAAAAAAGCCGTTATTTTTTAAAACAATTTTTAAAGAAAAACAAATTAAAAATTGCAATTCTAATAAAAGTTAAAAACATTAAGCTTAAAAAATTCATAAAGAATAATGAAAAATAAAACCAGTTTGAATTTTTATTGCGTCTCAACCGCGCATAATCGTCGACGTTCCCATCACCTTCGACGGTTTCGACTCGGTCGAACTGTTCTATGTTATCGACCTCGATGAGAGATGGGATCTCATCATCGGGATGTCCTGACTGGAGTCCCACCAGCCATGGATTGACTGGAAGGCCAAATCCGTGCACAAGGTTACTTCGCTCAACGCGAGCCAACCCTGGATTCATCGGCGGGCTGCCGATCGCCTTCCCCCGTCCACCACCATTCCGCTTGGTCCCCCGTTAGAGGCGATGAGTAATCATCTCGCCTCTCCTAGCCCCGCAGTGCGATCCTGGCAATGCCAGAAATGAGTTTCCACTCGCTTGTGAAATCTCTCCGCGCCCACGATATCGCCGCGCTGGCGACGATCACTGTCGAAGAAGAGATGGATCTCTTTTCGACCTCGACCGCGGATGATTCGGTCCTCGCTGCTCCTTTGAAGTCCCAGACGTGGAACTTCCTGAGGTCCAACCCCTATTACGACCTCCTCCAAAAGTTTGAGGACGTCTTCCCCGACGAGGTGTCGTGTCCACTCCCAGTCGACAAGGGCGTTCAACAAGAGATTGACCTCGTGCCCGGCGCTAAGTATTGCGTCACGCGGCAATTGCCGCTTCCTCGCAACCAAGTCGATGCCATCGACGCATTCTACGCGGCCCGCAAGGCGGCGGGTCACGTCCGCGAGAGCATTTCTCCTCAAGCAGCCCGACCTTCTGTGTGAAGAAGCCCGGTGGGAAATGGCGTATTGTACACGCCTTTAACAAATTGAATACGGCCAATCAAACCTCTCAGCAACAGATGCCGTCGTCGCTTCTCCGGTGTCCCGCCACGCCGGCATGGACCACCACACATATACGTACTCGCATATCCAATGCATCTCCCGGGATCCAAATCTTCCCAGCTTCCGTCAGAAAACACTTCTTCTCGGCGCTCCAGGAGGCGCATTTTTCACATGTTGGATGGCCGCGCTGCAATTCCGTCATCGGATTTGCCGTCGGCCACACAAATTCTTCGTGCCGTAACGGTGACACCAGGGCCAGCCTGGACATCCGAGCACTCCGAGACTCCACCCGAAAGCTCCGGTCCAGGAGGACTTCCCCAACGGCTCAGGAGATCCACCCACAGGTTATCCTCTCCGGTCACACACTCCACGACATACGGGAACGTCGATATCGTCAGCGCCAAGCGCTGGGGCTTGTGGTCCTGGTACTTGGCCATGTTCGAGTTCGAACTCAGAGGGTTAAACATGTACACCAGGTTTCGGTGGTCTGTAAACAATCGGAAACCTCCCGGACGGATCAGGAGGTACTCCAGGCGCTTGCACGATTCGACAACAGCCTTCTCCGCAATCGGCCATCGCCCGCTCGCTCCCCGGAAAGATCCGCTCAGAAACGCCAATTGCTCATGTCGCTGGCCGCTCGCCAGTAGGGCATCCCTTCGTCGTCGTCCATACCGTCTGACACCTCTGGCATCCGTGGGTACGGTGCATCGCGACTCCCGGGGTCGTGTTAGGCTGATCACCGAAATCCCATACGGCTTCCTGCCGACGTGCATTCTCCAGCAACGTCTGCTGATTGTAGCCCAGCGTAAGCTCAACGGGTGCTACGGTATCATTGACTCAGACCCGGAGCTCTCGTAACATCATTGGCCCACAGCGGTCCTGAATTCCAGGCTGCCCAGCCGAACTTGTTTCGTCACAGCAATCACCTGGGTGTCCACTCCGTACGGTCGGAGTTCCATCGGACCATGACCGTAATCTCCGGGGATGCTCCTGCAGTTAACAGTGCAGAAACCAGGCCTCCTGTGGTCACCGACAAATCAGCTCCTGAGTCCAGTAGTGATGCCTGCACAGGAAGGACACCGTCCACAATAGCCGGGAGCTCAAGCCGTTTCCCGTCTGGGACATCGGTCTTCACTGTCGCCACGCGGCCACCAGGTGCTCCCGAGGCTCCTTTCTCGCTGCTTCGACCACGTCTGAACGTACTTCTGTGTGCTCTTAGCAGTTGCTTGGCCTCTTAGGGGGTGACTCCGGGACATTCCCGGACCCGATGGCTGGTCGACTCACACTTCAGACAACCGTTGTTCGGTGCACCAATAGCTGATGCGTTCGGAGCAGGTGCCAGGGGCTTCGCGTCTCCCCTCGGGATCCTGCGTACTCCCAAGTCCTTCGACCCGGGCGGCTTCAGTAGGTCCGGCTTCTGAGGCGGCTCCAACTCTTCATCGTAACCCACAAAACGCTCGTGTGGGATCGCATATTGCCGCAACCAGCGCACAAACCGGTACACATCCTTCTTCAAAGGCGTGTTTCGCGTCAACGCCATCTGCTCGGTAATGGCACGGTGTAGCGACGCAGGCACGACGGCGTCCGTGATGATCTTCACAATCGTCTGGCTCACTTCTCGAATCACCGACTCTTGGCGGTCCCGACGAATAGCCACAGCCAAACCATCCAGCATACGTCCGATCCGGGAATCCGCGTCCGGGACCAATATATGAAAAACAACAGCAGATTGGACCCGCTTCTTTAGGGTATCCAGGGCCTGGGGATTGACGTCGTACCCTTGCTTGAACCACACAATCTATTCGTCCTCAGACACGGCATCAGGATCCTTTCGCATGTCCCATTCGACGCACTTGGAAGTCGCGCGCACAAAACTCAACAGGATGTGGAGGCAGTGCACGACGGCGACGTCGCCCCTCTTCGGGCATGCCTTGCCTTGAGCGCCGCAGATCGCACGCAATACGTGGCATCGTCCACGACGCTCACATTGGTGCAGAAAGTGGAAGCCACAGCAGCATGACGAGGGTGCACGTGGGAGGTGGTATACGCAGCGGACGCGACCAAACCAGCAACGGCGAAGGCAATTTGCATGACGGGTAAGCAGCGGAAATGTAAATTGCGTGTGGCTACCATGCAAAAGATGACATGTTGCTGGGGCGCGAGGTTGGGGTTCCTCAGAGGAGGAGGTGATTTTGTTATGACCATACTAGTATCGGCTAACTACGTACCCTAGTGCGAATTGGACCACCACCTAAAAGTCTTGAGATCACTGTTGCGGGTTGAGCGAGATTGTCCAGAATGCGGTGGTATGGAGTGTCGGAGCAAGGCCGTGTACGTTTACATGTGCATACATAAATATGACTTTGTAATTCTATTTGCCAGTACTTACTGTTAGTATAATTCGCAGTCAACATGCTCACGACATTTCAAGGGCATGTCATCCGTCGTGCTTGAATCAAACGTACGACAAATACGGTAGAGAATGCCAAGAGGCTTTGTGCTGTCTGGTTGAAATATATCTGGTATGGTGCACGTGAACTATACCGGAGGTTTTACTGTAGCACAATGACTTGTCAATTGTATTCGCAAGGTGAGCCATTTAGAAACTTTTTCCAATATGAGTCCATCGTATCTTGTTTCTTGTTCACGATTGGCTAAAACACTGGCAGCAGTCAGTGGGCTACAAATTTGAACTAACGTTAACTGTTTGACGCTTGAATTTTGTAGAGCTCTGTATAATGCTGCTCCGAAGAATTGTGCTCTGATGAGCTCACCCCGAATATTTCCAATGTGGTTCTCGTGTTACAACTAACATTATGTTGTGGACTCAGTTGGGTCGCAATGCCGTGGCGGCTCTAGTGGGCCAAAGCGGTGGCGCGCAACCACGTGATCACACCGGCAGGAAGGTGTACGGCACCGACACGGGGTGGATGGTGGAATGAGGGATGACCACATTCATTGGGTCACCAGTCATCAGCATCGCGCTTTGCTTACTTTGGTCGATTTCTCGTTGACTACAACACATATTCAGGTGATACAAATATCAAAATAACCGCAAGATTCAGCTTACGAACGGTTCAAAGGATATCAATTTAAATACTACGTAGTAGTAAACACGTGCAGTAAGGATTTTCAAAAGTAGCCTTTTTCACAGGGCGCCCACCAGTCATCGGCACACGTTTTAGACTTGTGTAATGTATTGAATCCTCTACACTCTAGTTCGCGGGATGCTGTCATCATATTAGCTATCAAAGGAATATGTGTTTAGAATGGGTATTAACTGCTACAGTAACGATTTCTGTATGATCAACACAAAAATTGACTGGTCTACCTCTAATTTATTAGGGGCATTAATTCTTAAAG